AGCGAAGCTCAGGCAACCCAGGTTCCATTTGGGTGCCAGGAAGCCCTTCCTGACAGTCGGGACCCCCAGGGTGTGGAATGGGCTTCCCTGGGAGGCGGTTGAGGCCCCATTGGTGAAGGTGCTCAAGGATAGGCTGGACAGGCACGTGGTGGGCATGTCGTGAGTGGAGCTGGCTGGTGCCAGGGGTCAGACTAGATGGCCCGGGAGTCCCTTCTGACTTGCTCTGTTTTTGTTTCTGTGACTCAAAGCATGCTCATCAACGGCAATCTCAAACTGGGGAGAGGGAATAAGTGGGGAGCAGCAGGGTTCAGTCCTGGACCCTGTGCTCTTCAGCATTTTTATTAATGACCTGGATGCAGAAGTGCAGGGAATGCCTCTCAGATCTGCAGATCACAGAAGACTGGGCAGGATAGCTAATAGCCTGGAAGTCAGAAAGAAGAGTCAAGGCGATCTGGGTAGGGTGGAGTGCTGGGCTGAAAACAGCAGAATGAAATTCAGGAGGGACAGATGCCAAGTTCTGCACTCAGGAAAAAGAAACCCAGTGAATCGCTACAAGATGGGAACCTTGGCTCAACAAAACCGCCAGTGAGAAGGATCTTGGAATTGTTGCGGCTCCCAGGCTGAATGAGTCAACAGTGTGATGTGACTGCCCAAAGGGCAAATGCTATTTTAGTTTGCATCAATAGAAGCATCCCTTCCAGATCCCATGAAGTACTCATTCCCCTTTACTTGGTCCCGATCAGGCCCCATCTGGAGCGCTGTGTCCAGTTCTGGGCACCAGAGTTGAAGAAAGATGCAGACAAGCTGGGAAAGGTCCAGGGGATGATGGGGACTTGGAGGCAAAGCCCTATGAGGAGCGATTAAATGAACTGGGCATGTTGAGCCTCAAGGAGAGAGGAGAGATTATACACTTCTCAAGTACTTGAAGGATTGTCAAAAAGGAAGAGCAGGAGCTCTTCTTGAACATCCCAGAGTGCCGGACCCAGAAAAATGGGCCCAAGTTGCAGGAAGCCAGATTCTGGCTAGATAGCAGGAAAAAATTCCTGACTGTAATACAGCAATGGAACCCATGACCCAGGGAGGGGGCGGGCTCTCCCACACTGGAGGCATTCCGGATGCAGCTGGACAGCCCTCTGGGAGGGATGGTTGAACTGGGAGTCCTGCCCTGAGAGTATGATTCTCTGATATAGAAATATAATGAATAAAAGAAAGTGAAACCTGGAGAAATTATCAGCCTTTGGGATGAGATAAATTTAAGCTAGGAATATTGAGAAACTGAGAGAAAATGAAAGTGAAAGTTTAATCTCTCTCTTGTACATGTTATTAATCACCTCTTCTTCTGGGCAGCAGCAAAAGTTGTATCAATGCACTGATATATCAAAGTGGATTAAAGAGTGGATTGCCCTGGCCTCTTGTTCTGGAGTTTTATTCTTCAAGCTCATAGTGAGGAAAGGGGTTTTTCTTTCCACTGCAAGCACTGAGTCACATAAAGATAATATGTTTATTGCACTGGTTATTTGCAGCCGCTGTCTCTGGAACTTGTTACCAGAGGTAAATCAAACCTGAAATGGGCAAGTTTTGTTCACATGACAGCAGTCCAAACATTGTAAATGATTTTGTAATTACAAAGGATGGGCGACCTCTCATTTTCACTTACTCTTGCATTGCATTTTTCAGAATATCACGGCCACTCCTCCATTCCTGAATATGGAAGTGCTTTGCAGGTTGTCTTGACGAACAACTGAGTTTAGCTGAATGAACCTGGTGTTGCGATTGTTTGCATGATGGGTAAATTATGAAGAGCTTTGCAGATTTTGCTGAATTCTTACCAACATCAGACTAAAATGAAATTCTTAGTTATCCCCTTCATGACATGTTTCATTGCCCTTTAACCATGTTTATTATGTGTCTGAAGTTCTTACAGTTTGGTTCTAACAAGGTTTTTCTGGTAATGTTCTCTTTGATCACTAGGTTTAGAAAGGACTGGACTAGTCATGGCTCCTTGGGATTTTTTTGGAAAGGTTTTTTTATGGCAAACCAAACAGCATTTGGAGTGGTTAAAAGCACCCAGGTCATCAGAATGCATTTGTCTGTGTCTAATTTTGACCTTTCAGGAACTTCACAGCACCTCAGGAGACCCCCAAAGGGTCAGCAGTAATAGCAAAGTTTGGCCACATGCCATTTAACTATATATAGCACATGCGCATGTGCACTCACATTTTCCTTCCAGTTTTGCCACCGACAGGAGGTGAAATTTCTAGGGGTGAAAATGGCCTTGGAGTCCCTGAAGTTGGCCAAATGTAGTCAGGATGTTTCATGTTCTTTCCAAAGATAAATATGCCCATATTATACATGCACTTTAAAAGCTATCAGTAGCAGCACCAGGGCATGGCCCTTTTCGCCCTGCTGTGGGGGCTGTGATGGGCAGGCAGGGCTTGGCCTTGGGGTGCCGCACTTCAAGACTGAAGGATCTGGGACTAGGAAAAACCCTGTAGCCGCCAGAAGATTGCCACCCTCAGTGTATACAATTCTCAATTTTAGCTCCCGAGTTTTGTCCTTGGAGCAATGTTTGTTCTGCAGATACGCTTGTTAGTTTTTAACAATGTGCAGACATGTGACATACATCAGGCCACCGGTCCATTTGTTGGAAACCCTTTGCCTTAATTCTTCCAAGTAAGAAAATGCATATTTTGTTTCTTCTTATGCTTCCCCTTCTCTACATGCATGTTTTGTGCATGGCCCTTCAGAAGCATTTCCCAAAATACACTGGATCCACAATAGAGTCATCCCCCACCCCCACCCCCGCTCTCTTCGTCTAGTCCTTTGTCACCCTGGTGTCTTTTGCCCAGGAGCCAGGCCTGGAATCCACAGGCTCAAACATTCAGGAAGCGGATTTTGACTCACCAGGAGCAAAAGCACCCCAACGGGGGAACGGCTGCCTTGGAATCTGACAGACTCTCCAACACTTCAGGTTTTCTAGCAAAGGCTAAGCGGTTGACAACCAAAGGTGCTTCCGAAGTGCAGCTCCGCATCAGGAGGGGCTGAGCAAGGTGGCCCGAGAGGTTTCTCGTGCTCTGTGGCCTTCCAGCCTGGGCAGTTCCATGGGACACGGCCTGAATGGAGGGGGCTGGGCCTGGGCCTGCAGGTGACAGCCTGGTCCTTCTACCCATCCTAGCAAAAGTGGCATCCGGGAGACCCACATTCCAGAGCAAATTCCCACATGACAGGGCTGCTTTTAGGCCGTGCTTCCTCCCTGCATAGGTACAGAAAGGGTTTTTGAGTGCTATTAATAACTAGTGATGCTGAGCTGTGGGTTCCACAACTAGAGAGAAGATGAGCAGATTTAGGAGAGACATTCAGATGAGGAACATTTCAGATACAAATCCGTGGACCTATTTCTGGGAACATCCTCCATTTCCCACTTCGGATTAGTTTTGTGCTGCCGCTGCACAGATGAGTGTTTTCCGTCTGGATATTCGGGAATTATTCTGTACTTATTCACCCACTGGTTACATGTTTTGAAACATGTGTATTATTTGATTTTTAAAAATAGTTATAGTGTGTTTTTTATTCTGTCTCCATTGTAATCTGCTTAGGGATTCCTTGGGCTAACAATGTGGAATGTAAGTTTAATAATAAATAAGAAGAGAAGCCTGAGGGGAGACATGGTTCATGTTCCTCTATAAGTACCTCAAATTCTGTTACAAAGAGGAAGGTCATGATCTCTTCTCGCTGATTCCAGAGTACAGGACATGGAATCATGGATTCAAGCTGCAGCAACCCCAATTCAGGCTGGACGTCAGGAGAAGCTTCCTCACCGTCAGAGCAATATGGCAGTGGGACCAGCTGCCCGGAGAGGTGGGGGCTCTCCCACACTGGAGGCATTCAGAAGGAAGCTGGGCAGCCACCTGAGTGGGAGGGTGTGAACTGGTGTCCTGCAACAGCAGGGGGGTGGACTTGATGGTTTCATGCTTTGCCCCTTCCAACTCTTCTATGATTCTATGAAATAAATTAATGTGCCTTAGAAAACCTGGATCTGAGCACAATGAAATTCTTCCCCAATGTATGCGCTGCTCTAAGAACCCATCTCCAGGCAGGTTGGCTTTGGGACCCAAATCTAGCTGGCTGATTGCATCCTATGCTTCTAAAATAACCTGGGCCCTGTGGAGGAAACAGAACCTCTCCTGTGATGCTGCAGCTGTTGATACGAAGGGCGGGACATGAGCTGATGGATGGGGTCATCTTGAGGGGCTCCCCCTCACAGAAGCTGGGCACTTTGGCATGTGGGTCATGGGATCCGTGGCAGTGTCTCAGGAACAGGATCCTTTTCTTGCATTTATTTCCTTTATTTCAATACTGCCCATTTGCCGAAGATCTCTTGGGCAAGTTCACAAGGCAGCAGCTGGTCTGAATGGAGTACATTTTGGCTCTGCAGTGAAAGGAGGCACATGAGAACATAAGAAAACAAGGGAAGATGAGCTGGATGAAGCCCAGGGCATAGCAACTGGGCAACTGCCCACAGGTAGGACTCCCCAGCCCCTGGCACATGAAGCACTGCCTCAGATGCTGGAGGCAGCACAGAGTCATGAGGACTAGAAGCATGGATTGCCTTCTCACATGCTAGTGAAAGGCTCAGAGAGGGGTCATCTGGCCCAAGTACCATCTGTGACTCGCTTGCTCTAAAGGTATAGCTTTCCGCATATTTTCTTCTTTCTTCTAAATCTGTTCCAAGCACTGGAGGCTTTTGGTAGTGTATCCACTCTGGGTGTCAGCCCGAGCTTTCAAGGAGCTATCAATGATGTACTCAACAGGTCCAGCATCATGGGTTGCTCTGTGGATTTCAGACTGGGGCGTGGTGTGCACAGACCATCGCGCGGCCACGGATGCTGTCAGCCCTGCTGGTTCCAGCCCTGCCTCAGAATGGGGTACATGGCTGCCCTGCTGAGCAAGGCAGGTGGGCTCATTCCTCCGTGCGGACCGCAGCCCGACGCACTTCTGCCTCATGTGAACCACTTGCGCAGCTCCGGCACGGCCTGGTACTGGGTTGGCCTTTTCTGCAGCGCCTGGCATGCTCTGCAGTACTGGAAGCCCCAGGAGGTGTGCCCCACGGGCTTCAGCCGGGAGCGCCACTGGAAGTAGCTCTCGTACCGCGTGGTGTTCCTGCCCAGGTCCTGCAGGAAGCTGGCCAGCTCTTTCGCGGTTGGGAAGTCATCGACGTGAATGAACGACTCCGGAGGCAGAAAGCTCTCATAGTTCTTCCGGGGAGGCCCCAGGACGACCGGCACAGCCCAAGAGAGCAGGGCATTCCTCCAGACCTTCTCAGTGATGTAGTCCTCATGAATGGAGTTCTCAAAGGCCAGGTAGAACTTGTACTGGGATAAAGTGGACAGGTGCTTGTTCCTGGGAAGGGGCAGGTGGCCACGCCCGTACACATCCACTTGGAGGTACTTCTTCAGTTCTGCATAGTATTTCACCCGTGCAAAGTTCGGGTTCCAGTGGCTCACAACCCAGGCCACGAGCTTGGACTTTGGTGGAACAGCGACCGCCTGGGATTCAGCGAGAACTTCCAGCCACCCATAAGGGATGAAGATATCTGAGTCCCTCCGATAGGACATGGTGAGGTTGAAGAGGTTGTCCAGGAAATCTGGGATGGGGAAGGTGGTAGGAGACTCCATATTGAACCAAATCCAGCGCTGCAAGGGAGGTCTGGGTTCTCGAGGGAGCCTGGTGCGGCTGGGCCTCACATCGTAATGGTGCATGATCACCGCGTCGGCCTTGCGGTACCAGCTGCGGTTGGCCGTGAACTGGCAGGCGGGGATGTCCAGCAGTGTGGCACAGCTCTCGATGGGGAAAGGGATGCCGAAGGGCCAAGTCCAGAGCAGGATGGTGAGGGCCGCATGTTCCTCGGCTATTGCGGGACTGCTTTGGAGCTGCTTCTGTAGTTCCCCCGTGTGGGGGATCATGGGATCTGGCTCCATGGAGACCCGGAGGTAGCTGAAGATGATTGCACTGAGCATTCCTTGCAGGATAATTAGAGTCACGAGTTTCCAGCAGGCTGGGCATATTGTGCAATTTCTGTGATCCATGGTCCAGCCTAGGAAAGAAAGGGACAGTTTACACTAGGTGCTGGATTCGTTTTCTTTGCTCCACAGGGGCAGGAGACTGGGGGCCCAAGGTCTGAAGTCTGTTAGCCTGGGGTCAAGTGTATCTGGCTGAATAGCATTAGCATTATTTGGGATTAAGCAGGGCCTTGGGACACCCAAGTTGCCATCCCCACTAGTCACTTTTCTGTCAGACGTTAGCCTTCCTCTCAGCTGTGAGGATGAAATGAGCAGCATTTGACCCCCTCACGTGCCTTTGTCTTCCTGGAGGAAGAAGAGCCGGCTCTAAATGCAAGGCAGAATAAATGCATGGCTCACAGTCTAATGCACTGTTTGCTTTCTGAGGCTGAAATGTGATTGTGGACCAAAAACACACATGTCTGACGGGGTGGGGGGGGTAGGGGAGTGTTTAAAAACCTGTACTTTTGGGGGAAAAAAATCACAAAAAGATGCACCAAGTTTAATGAGCAAATACTCCCACAAAGTTTGTGGTCTGATATGGACACAAGTCAGAACGAGGTGCAAGTGAGAGAGTTCTCCCAAGGTCAGGTAGTGCTTGGACCCCCGGCTCTTCCCATCTCTCTTCTCCCACCACACACACCTTGATGCTGGTGCAGATCCTGGGCGCTGCAGCATAGAACAAAGAGACTGAGATGGGTGCCTGAGCCCCAGGCACAAAGGGCAGAATCATTGGGTGCAAGAGACATGCCTGGCTGGTGGCACTCCCCGAGTCAGAAGGACGGATCCTGGCCCGTTTGGTACTTCGTGTAGAGAACGAGTTGGGTGTCTCCCTTCCTCCCTCTCAACTGAAGCCACAAGTCCATCAACTGCAACCCCCCCTCTGCCCCCCCCGCCCCCCCACTTTTGGAAAGAAAGTGAGCAGCTTATTTCTGAAACGCCTGCTGGAGCCAGAACTTATCCTGGTGTCTTCTGGTCTTTGTCTCCTTCTCTGAAATGCAAGCTCAGGACCCACCTTTTCTGCTCTTCCGTGGAATATGGAGCAGGAAGCCCCTTTCAGTCCAAGGTTTGCATTTCACCAGTGGGCACAGCTGTAGGTTGAGCGGCACCCGCCCAGGATATCTTGGGTTAAAGCCCGTGATGCCAGGGAGAAGGGCATGCCATGGTATTTCGGTCTCTCAGAAGTGGGGAAAAGCCAGGAGATGACAATCGGGGCTGACGGGATGAGGCACTGGAAGAAGGTGAGATTAGTGGAAGGGGCCATGGTTTCCTGGGGAACATGTGGGAGTTGGATCTGGGACCCCATGTAGCCCAGATTTTGCCCGTGGCCTGATGCCCCCATGGCTTAATTAATTAGATTTATATCTTGTCTTTTTTCCCACTGAAGGAACTCAAGGCAGCTTCGATAATGCTCCTCCTCCTCTCAATCTTATCCTCACAACAACAACCCTGTGGGGTAGGATGGGCTGAGAGCTTGTGACTGGCCTAAAGTCACCCATGGCTGAATGGGGACTAGAACCCAGGTCTCCAGTGTCCCAGTCTGTGCTCTTAACCACCACATCACACCACACCTCTAGGTGTCTCCCCCAAGACACAAAAGCACCAGTGCAGCTGAGCATCTGATTCTTGCCTGTGCTGGGGAAGTGAGCTAATACAGAAGAAGCAAACAAGGTTTTGGGGTTTCCTGCACGAGCCCTTGGCAGGGCGATTGATTCTGATTTGTCTCAAGCAAGGCAGCGTTTCTCCCTCTTGGTGCTTTGCTCATCTTTGCAGGATGAATGCAGCAGGAATCTTTGTGACATGTCCCCCCACCCCACCATTATCCCCATTATGCTGGACTGAAATGTTTCAAGCAACCAACCTCTTAGAAACATAGAAAACAGAGTGAGCCAGAAGGGGTCTCCCGGGCCATCTAGTCTGACCCCCGGCTCCAGCCGGCTCTGCTCACGACATGCCCACCATGTGGATGTCCAGCCTATCCTTGAACACCCTCACCAATGGGGCCTCCACCACCTCCCATGGAAGCCCATTCCCCACCCTCAGGGTCCCAACTGTCAGGAAGTGCTTCCTGGCATCTAAATGGGACCTGGGTTCCCTGAGCTTTGCTCCACTGGAGCGCGTCCTGCCTTCTTCCATATCATTAATGAAAAGATTAAACAGCATCGGCCCCAGGACAGAGCCCTGGGGGACCGCGCTTGTCACTGGCTGCCATCCCGAAGATTTCCCGCTAATGCTTACCTTCTGCTTTCGGTCAGTCAACCATGCCCTAATCCACCGGACAGTGCTTTGGTGTATCCCAAAACTCCTCAGTTTCTCCACCAGGATATCATGGGGCACTTTGTCAAAGGCCTTGCTGAAATCCAGGTAAACCACATCCACTGCATCCCCTCCATCCAGCCATCTCGAAACCTTGTCATAGAATTCCACAAGGTTTGTCTGGCAGGACCTGTTTTTGCGGAAGCCGTGTTGTGTGGCCGCCAGCCTCCCTTCCCTATCCAGCATCACCAGATCTCTCTCTATTATGAGCCTTTCCATTGTTTTTCCTACAATGGACGTAAGGCTAACCAGTCTGTAACTCCCCACGTCCCTTCTACTACCCTTTTTGAAAATTGGGACCACTGATGCCACCCTCCAGTCCTCTGGAACTTCACCCGTTCTCCATGAGGCCTCAAAAATGGAGGCCAGCGGGCGTGAGAGAACCCCTGCCAACTCTCTAAGTACTCTCAGGTGTAACCCGTCAGGGCCTGGCACCTTTGTAATGTCCAATGCCCTGAGGAGTCCCTCGACTTCAAGGGGGGTGACTCTAATCTGTGCCCCTAAGTCCCCAGCTTCCTCCTAATCTCCTATGCGGATCTCCCCTGTCCTGCTTTGGGGAGAAGACAGAGGCAAAATAGTCATTTAGCATCTGTGCCTGTCCCCTCATATCAGTCACTGGATCTCCTTCCTCCTTATTTAGTGGTCCCACCACTTGGCTCCCCTTCTTCTTGCTGTTTACATGCTGAAAGAAGCCCTTTTTGTTGCTCTTGATATTCTTGGCAAGTCTCAGCTCGTAATCAGCCTTAGCCTTGCAAAGAATCCTTCTGCAATGGGCCTCCTCCTCCCGGTATACCCTTTTGTCTATTTCCCCCAGTACCCATTTCCTACGGAGGTTCCTCTTTGGTCTAATCCCTCTAACCACCTCCTTTCGCATCCATGGCGGTGCTCTCCTCTGCCTCCCCACCTTACTGACTAGAGGTATCGTCAAGGCTTGAGCCTCCAAAACCTCCCTTTGAGTGCCAGCCACCCCTCCGCAACTCGCTTGCCTTCCAGTAACCCATCCCAGGAGACTTTCCCCAGTCTGACCTTCAGTTGGCCAAAGTTGGCCCTCTTGAAGTCCCAGCTTCTAGTGCTCGACCTGCTGCACGTCCGCAGTCCCCTGATCTCAAAGCAAAGGATGGAGTGATCACTCGCATCCAGAGCTCCCCTAATCTGTACTTCAACTATCAGCTCTTCCCTATTGGTCAAGACCCAGTCAAGCATGTTTCCCCCCCCCCTCGTCGCCTCTTGGACCCTCTGTGTGAAAAACGCTCCCTCAATAGCTTCTAGGAAGCGATGTGACCTGGCTGTCACCGCCAAGTGAGTCTCCCAAGTAATATGTGGGACATTGAAATCTCCCATAATTACTGTGTCTCTCCCCCAAGATATCCTTAGAATCTGGCCTGTCAGGACATCATCCAGGGTCTCAAGGTGACCTGGAGGGTGATAACATACCTCCACTGTCAGGTCTCTTTCCCTGTCAAAACCCCTAAGTTTCGCCCAGACTGCCTCTGCCGAATCCCCACCTGTGCTGCATTCTATCCCACTGCATCTGATCCCTTCCCTGACATATAAAGCCACCCCCCACCCCTCTTTCCCTTCCTGTCCTTTCTGAAAAGGTGATACCCTTCTATGTTCACATTCCAGACTTGCCTTTCATCCCACCAAGTTTCCGTGATCCCCACCAGGTCATTTTTGTATTTTTGTATTTAATGGTAATTTATTATGTTCTATTGTATTTCAATGTATTTTATTGTGTTGTAAGCCGCCCCGAGGTTTCGGCAAGGGGCGGCATAGAAATGTAATAATAATAATAATAATAATAATAATAATAATAATAATAATAATAATACCCTCCTATTCCCAGGAGAGCTTCAAGCTCTTCCTGCTTGTTACCCATGCTCCTAGCATTGGTGTACCTGCACCTCAACTCCTTCCCACCGCTTCCTTTCCTTGGAGTTCCCAGCCTCCTCCTTCCTCCCATCCTCCCTGATACCTGGCCCCTCTCTGTAGGAGTCCTGTCAGTCCCTGCAGTATCTCTAAAACTCTGCTCCCAGAGCCCTGATCCTCCCCCCACACTTGTCCAGTGCAGACACGTTCCTGGGGGGCCTGAACCCCCCCCCCCCGGCTCAGTTTAAAGTCTTCCAGATGAAGCTCACTAGAGCATCTCCAAAGGACCTTTTCCCCATCCTCGTGAGGTGCAACCTGTCCCTTGCCAGAAGTCCATTGGCAAGAAACCGGGTGCCGTGGTTGAGGAACCCGAAGCGTTCCTTCTGGCACTGCACCCTAAGCCAGTCGTTCCCCTCGGAGGCCCTCCTGTCCCTTCCTGGCCCAAATCCCCGGACAGGTAAGATTGACGAGGAGGCCACTTGGGCCTTCAGTTCCCTGAGTGTCTTCCCCAAGGCCTCAAAGTCCCTGGTGGTTCCAACCAGACCCTGCCTGGCCACGTCGTTTGTGCACACATGGATCACCTGGAGCGGCTGGCGACCCCCGGAGTGAACAAGGTGCTCCGCTCTGTCTTTCACATGCCGGATCCGTGCGCCCGGCAGGCAGCAGACCTCCCTTGTCTCCAGGTTGGGGCGGCACACCGCCGGCTCAGTGCCCCTCAGCAGGGAGTCCCCAACAACAGTCACCCGCCGCCGTACCTTCCGAGTGCTGGTGGGTGGCCGTGCCCTGGCCCTCGCCTCTCCTGCAGCGGCCCCCTTGCCGCCTGACATCCCAGGCTGGGGGTCCTGCTGCTCCCCCGAGGCCTCATCAGCCCCAGCCTCCCCAAGTGGAGAGAGCCTGTTTCCCAGCTCCAGATCGGTGCCAGGGAAGGAGGAGGCCGTGCTGGCCTCCTCCTCCTGTGGGTGACATGCCTCCATGTCTCCGCAGCTGCTCCTCCGGTGGCCTCTCCCTTGACCCTCTGTCCAGAGGGGGGCTGCTCCCGGGGGCCTGGACAGCTCTCTCGGCCCTCAGGCACCTCACCTCCTCCTCCAGCAGGACCACCAGCTTGCACCGAGGGCAAGTGTATCCCTGCCTCTCCCGGAGGAGAAGGGCGAACATGTCGCAGCTCTCGCAGCGGCAGCAACACCCGTGACCCCCGCCAAGGCCATCTCCTGGCCTGCCAACGGGATCCCTTCCGAGACCTTGCCTTGGTCCCCTCCCTTGTTTGTCCTGCAGTTCCTCTCACTCGCCCAGTTCTCCCAGACAAAAACCCACTCGCACACACACACAAGGATAAAGTTAAATTTATAACATAAGCTTAAATTTAAATTGGAGGAAAACCAAGCAAAGTGCGGCACAGCACAACACAGAAAAAAGGAAGGAAGGAAGGAAGGAAGGAAGGAAAGAAGGAAGGAAGGAGGGAAAACCCCCCTTTGTGTCCCAGGAAAGGGAGTCCCTGGACAGCCCGGGCCACAGCTAAGGGACGCAGACAAGTCCAATGGCCGAACTCAGCCTTATCAGTTCCTCCGGCCGGTGGCCCCGCCCCTCCGCTCCCTCCTGGCCCCTCTAGCCCCTCTGGCCCCACCCTCTCCTCTCCACTGCTCCTGCCCCGCTCCCCCGCCCAGCCTCTGCCTTGCCTTCGCCCGTCCCCTGGCCACTCAGCACTCACTCCTGCCTGTCCGCTCCCTCCTGGCCCCTCTGGCCCCTCTGGCCCCGCCCCCTCCTCTCCGCTGCTCCTGCCCATCTCCCCTGTCCAGCGCCTCCCTTGCCTTCGCCAGGCCCCTGGCCACTCAGCACTCGCTCCCAGCCTCTGCTGCTCTGCTGCTCCGCTGCACTGCTCTTGCGAGTGAGAAGGATAGTGGTCTTGGACAGTCATGTCCACAGACTGTTGGTTGCATTCCAGAAGGTGATTTGGAATCAGAAAGTGGAGCACATCCCAGTGAAACTGGGGAGGATGGGCTTGGTCAAGATTTCAAGATGCCAGAGGAGGAGGAGGTGGGGATCGCAAGGCCAGGCGCCTCGCCAAGCCAGGCAACTCCTGGGAACGGCCAAGATGTGCAGCCAGTGGGAGGGTCTCTGAGGATGAGGCGTTCTCAGATGCGGGCCCCCTTCTCCTTCTTGACTCCACGGTGAGGCATCAGCAGAGGTGGGAGGCCCAGCTGGATGAGCAACACATGGAGAGGAGGAGTGTTTGCCCCCAGAGAGCCCCTCTCCGGGGTTGGGCCCAGGCTTGCTCATAAGGAGAGTTCCTGGAGGTAAACACTAGAACAGTAGAGTTGAAGAGGCCAGGAAGGCCATCAGATACAACCCCTGCTGTTGCAGGACGCCCAAATTGCACCCTCCCACTCAGGTGGCTGCCCAGCTTCCTTCTGAATGCCTCCAGTGTGGGAGAGCCCCCACCTCTCCGGGCAGCTGGTTCCACTGTCGTATTGCTCTGACAGTCAGGAAGCTTTTCCTGACGTCCAGCCTGAAACTTGGTTGTTGCAGCTTGAATTGATTAGTCCATGTCCTACCCTCTGGGATCAGCAAGAAGAGATCTTCAGGACAGCCTTTGAGGGCCTTATAAAGAGATACCATGTCCCCCCTCAGCCTTCTCTTCTCAAGGCTGAACACGCCCAGTTCTCGCTGTCTCTCCTCACAGGGATGTGTTTCCAAACCCTGGATCATTTTTGTTGCCCTCCGCTAAACCCTTTCTAATTTTTCTGCCTCTTTCTTCAGTCTCGGTGCCCAGAACTGGACACAGGATTCCAGGTGAGGTGTGCCTAGTGAGGAGTATAGGGGAACTACTGCTTCTTGTGATTTGGAAGTGGTGCTTCTGCTGATGCATCCCAAAATAGCGTTTGCCCTTTTGGCGGCTGCATCGCATTGTTGGCTCATGTTCAGCCCATTGTCCACAATCCTCCGAGATCTTTTTCTTCTCAGTTCTGTTGAGCCACGTATTCCCCATCCTGTATCGATGCCTTTGGTTTCTTTTTCCTCGGTGGAGGACTTGGCACTTGTCCCTATTCAATCTCCTTCTGCTGCTTTCAGCCCAGCGTTCAAGTTGATCAAGATCGCCCTGGATCTTCATTCCGTCTTCCAGGGTGTTTGCTACTTTGTATCATTTGCAAAGGGATGCAGGTGGCGCAGTGGTTTAAACCGCTGTGCTGCTGGTCTGGTTGATCAAAAGGTCGCAAGGTCGAATCTGTACAACGGGGTGAGTCCCCGTTGCTCCGTCCCAGCTCCTGCCAACCTTGCAGTTCAAAAGCATGCAAATGCAAGTAGATGAAAAGGTGCCACTTCGGTGGGCAGATCACAGCGTTCCGTGCACCTCGGTGTTCAGTCATGCGGCCACACGACCACGGAGACCGTCTGCGGACAAGCGCTGGCTCCCTCGGCCAGAAAACGGAGGTGAGCACCGCCCCCGAGAGTCAGGCATGACTGGACTTCATGTCAAGGGGAAACCTTTACTTTTACCTTTTTATCATCTGCAAATCTAATTATCTTTCCTTGTACTTCCTCATCCAAATCATTAATGAAAATGTCGAAGAGCACGGGGCCCAGGACTGAACCCCGTGGCACCCCACTGGTTACCTCCATCCCATTTGAGCAGGTACCATTGATGAGCACTTTGTGTCTGATTTAGCAGCCAATTTTGGATCCACCTAACAGTGTTTCCATCTAGTCCAGTTTTGCTAATTTTCTTATCAGAATGTCATGTGGCACTATGTCGAAAACTTTGCTAAAGTCTAGATAGATTATGTCCACCATGGAACTGGGTCTCTTCAGCCTGGAGAAGAGGCGACTCAGAGGGGATCTGTTGGTGACATGCAGGTATGTGAAGGGATGTCACACGGAGGTGGGCAGAGGCCTGTTCTCCCCTGCAGAGGATGGCAGGACGGGCTCAAATGGAGCAAAGCTCAGGAAACCAAGGCTCAATTTGGATGCCAGGAAGCGCTGACAGTCAGGACCCCGAGGGTGTGGAATGGGCTTCCCTGGGAGGTGGTGGAGGCCCCATCGGTGCAGGTGCTCAAGGATAGGCTGGACGTGCACATGGCGGGCATGTCGTGAGCGGAGCCGGCTGGTGCTGGAGGTCAGACTAGATGGCCCGGGAGACCCCTTCTGACTCGCTCTGTTTCTATGTTTCTGTGTTTCCCTTTGTCCATTTGGCAGGCTATCCAGTCAAAAAATAAGATTAAATTAGTCTGACAGGATTTATTTTTGATAAATCCATGCTGGCTTCTATTAATCATTGCATTTTCTTCAAGGCTCAGAGATCGATTCTGGTGATTTGCTCTTGGGATCAAGAAAGTCACAAGGAGAATGGTTGGTGGCAGGTGATTGCTCAAAGAGGAAACCTTGGCTGGCAAGGTTTTGCATCTACAGGCACCTTCCTGCTTCCCTTGGGTGCGGACCTCCTATTCCATGCTGTTCTGGGGAGAATGGCCCCCGATCTCTGGGGAGTCCTTTCTCACCCCCATTTTGTGCCACCATGTGCACCGTGTCTTGCATCGTGTCTCTGCTTTGCCGGAAGGTGAGAGCGGCTAAGGATCAGTTGTCTGCACCTTGGTTTGTACCAAACCTCCTGTTTGGACTGCCACAAGGCACTCTCCCTGGGGCTGCCCTTGGAGAGAGTACAGAAGTTTCAGCAAATGCAAGATGAAGCATTTGTGGCACAGGATGCCCGTCCTGAAAGACTTGTGTGGGTTGTCAGTTGATTTTTGGGATCAATTTAAGTAGGGATTCTGCTTTGGGTATGTGAATCCATACAATTCCCTGGGCTTGGTTCCTCAGACTCCAGCCTGCTTTCTCACAGCTTGAAGTCCAACTTCCTGGGGTGCACAGAGAACTTTCGAACAGCACTCACTAGGAGCTGGGATTCACACATGGCGTCCCTCTTCCAAGCATGGGATGCCCAGCCCCTGTTTGTACTGCACATGGTGTGGAAGAAGTTCCCTGGTGCTCCTCTGGCTTCTGTGAGCATTTATGGATTTCCTCCCAGCTTGGTTTGCTTTCTAAGGCAGGGAAGAGGGTGAGAGGGATTCCATGGGGCTTGGATGCAACATGAATTTAAGGCTTTGCTCTTAACTCTCAATAGGGTTGGTGCCCCAAGTCCTTCATTTGCAGCCCTGAATCTCTGGGCAACCAGATGTCCTACCACACTGATGTCCAGGGGCATTTGCAGAAATGAAGGTTCCCCCACTCCACCCCCATGATCTCTGTTGCATCAGATCCCTGGGATGAACATGCCCTTGCCCTGCGGACCACTCCCACTTCCTGCTGCTCCCATTGAAACTTCCTGGTGATCTTGTTTCCTGAAAGTGTGTGACATTGCTTATACCTTTTTATCATAAGGCTGCCCTTGAGTGGGGTGATCTTTTATCAAACTTCAAGAATATCTAAGTTAGCCTATGCAAATTTGTGCCTTTTCTGGTTACTGTGGGCCTTATCTGCTCAGTACTTAGGACAGCCTTGGCTTATGGACCTGCTATTAAGGTCAGGTCCTTTCCAGGCACTGTTCGCTGCAGAAGAACGCTCTGAAGAATGCTCCCGGGGCATACGTGGTCCTCCCAAGCTGTAGCATGTGCTCCACCTAAAAGCATGACTGCCCCTTCCTCTCCCAGCCTTTAGAGAGTTTGAAGATGCAACTTTCCAAGGTATTCTTTTCATATGCTGCCTTCCCCCTCCGCTAGGATCCCAAGGTCACCTTTGCCCTTTACAATGTGCCACTTAATGCTCTTTCTTAGAATCATGTTAACACTCTTATTATTATTGCAAGGTTTTTCTGTATCTAGCACTTCTAGATGATAAGGAGGTGATAATTACTCCCTGAACCCATGAGGATAAGCCAGGCATCTCTGGTGAAAGGGTCAGGGGTTGTCTGAGTCCCTGCGGCACCAGTCCAGGCACAACCGGAATCAAGCCATGCTGGCTGCAGGGCTGTTCGAGGAATTCAACGGGGTGGGGGGGGGGCGGGATTGGCTGGAGTTTTGTGATTTTGCTCCCCGCTGCCCATTTTGGTTCACCAGCCCTGCTCTGGCTGTGACTCACAATCAAGTGAATCCAGCTTGCAGGCTCAGGTATCCTCAGGAAACAAGGACAGGAGTTCATGAAAATTGGCATTTAATAGAACAGGTAGATCAAGCACAGTTTGCATAAGATCGGTCCATTTATTTATGCATTTCTCTTGTTTAATAATTATATTTTTCATCCTGCCTTTTCTCCTTTCAAGAAACTCAAGGTGGTTTACATCACTCTCCTCCTTCCCTCAGTCTTATCCCCACAGCAACAGTCCTGTGATGTAGGCTGGATGAGAGTCTGTAATGGGCCCAAAGTCGCCCAGGCGATCCCCGCATGGCTGTGCTTGGATCGCCTGAGTCCCCGTCCCACACTTTTAACCATGACACCATATGCACAGATTGCATGAGGACCCATGCTTTGGAGGTGCAAAAGTACACAAAATGGTAAGCTATACGCAAATTGTATACCACTGCACAAGTCGAGTTAATTTGACTAAGAAATCTGTCTGTAAAAATAGGATGAAAGGAATCAAATGAAATAGTATAGCCTAAAAATTTCTCCACATTTTCATAGTTCAACCTCAAACAGATAAATAAATAGTGCCAAAAGATATTTCTGCCAGTTGTGTTTGCTAGTCCCAACAATTAATTGAATAATTAATATGTGCTTTAAATGGTGTTATATAGAAC